AATTGTCTAATGAGCTCCAGATATCACTAGAGTTCCAAAGAGATCCAGCTGAGAGCGTTTATTTGGCAGTTAAATACTTGACTCTCGAAGACAGAAGTGGGGAAATTACATTTTGGGTGCTGTGATATCTCCAGATGAAAATCTCTGTTATGAGACTAAAATTCAATATTATAGAATGTAATATTGCACTGTGAAATTTCAACACAGTTATCTTTGGAAGAGAATATAGGGAATGCTATGCACCTGTGGGAGAGGCAGTGAAAGGGAAACAGATATTGAACGTCTTTCAGGTGGCATACTCCACTGGTCCACAGAAACTGAAACAGAAATTGTTAAGCCAAGAGGCTGATACAGAGTTCATTGGCTGGATTTTAGAGCTCTTAAACACACACATTTTTGAAAAAATTAAATTTCTTAAATAGAAAAGATCTTTAAGTCAGACAAAAGCAAACCTGTTAAAAACAAAGCGTTGGGTGCAGTAGCACTGCAGAGAACGAGGCCAGCTTGGGTGTGGGTGTACATCAGCATTGCTCCATTGAAGCCAAGCAGAGGATCTGGCCCAAAATATTGAGTCCTACAGGGATCTTAGGTAATTTCTTCCTGAGTGTCTGTTTTTCTTGCTGTCTGCAAGCTAGTTGACTACACCTCATTAGAATCTAAATGTTATCATTTCAAATTTGGCTTCTTTTTCCGACAAATATTCATGAAAATTAATTTCAAGATCTTGTTATGTCAAAATCTATATAAAAGTAATATCTGACTAGGACTCAAGAGAACCATAGTGCAAAGCCTTTTCTCATGAAACAGTTACCAGAAACACTCGCAAAACTCCAGTAGTAAGGACATTCGATGCTATTTTACTCTGCAAATAATTATATGAACAGAAAGTTTTTTTAGAGGGAGCTGCAGGGTGATAGGTGTGTGACTTGAAAAAGACAAAGGGACAACAGGCTGTAGCTGGAAAAATCCAAAGAAATCCAAGAAAAATCTGATCTCTAGCAAAGGAGCTAATTGTGATTAAAAGAAAAGATAGAAAAGTGATTCCTAAAGAGTGGAAAGTAGAATCTCTTCTCCTAAGAGGTGGCTGAAAGGGAGGGAAAGAATCAGCCAGCAGGCTTCTCTAGAGGAGTTATTTATAGCAAAATGCTGAAAGGAAATGGGTATACTTGAGACTTACGGTGTAGTATATATCTGGCCCAGATAAATATTCACATTTCACAACCCTTCCAAGACTAGGTGCTGTGAAGATTTTGATATTAACCTTATGTTCACCTGTATAAGCCATCTCTGAAGCTTTATCTTATTTCATACTCCCTCGAACTAGTTTCTTAATGTTGGCAGCTGTGGTTAGGGTGAAAATCCTGGTGGATGCGTTAGGGACACCTTCTGCTTCAAACATGGTTGAGTGGATCTGGCTCTGGGAGAAGCCTACCTGACTAATTTTGATTTAAATTTTATATCCTTTTGCGCTAAGCAGTAAATCAGAGACAGGTCATTCTGCTGTGAAGCCCATGAGCTGTTCAGTGATAATACTACATGAAGCTGTACGGATTCCCACCAGTCCTTCAGTCAAATGCTTCTTCCTGTATCTTTTCCACTGACTTATGCAGTCATAGCTGTCTAGATTTTCAGAGCAGTGTTTTGCCACAACTAACAGTGATGCTGGGACAGAAGTGGGAAAGGGGTTAGGGGGTGTTGCGGAAACTCCCCCTGCTTGGGATTAAACTGGATTTGATGAGAAAGAAAAAAATATTAGAATCCTTTATAGTTTTAAAGATTATGTTGATTTTTTTTTCTTTTTTTGAGGCCTTTAATTTTTTGAGTATTACTGGTATAGTTTACAAAGATCGATAGAACAGTACTTGTAACAAAGAAGCTTAATGGAGTTTGTGTGGGTTTTTTTCCTTTTTTCCCTTTAACTGATCAAATATTTTGAACAGTTTTATCGTTTGGGTGGAATATAGAATTAGGGTAGGGGAAACTGATTGGTTGAATGTGGCCCTTTTAAGCTGTTGAAATCTTCCCCTCCCCCCCCAAAAAAAATCAGATACTTATCTTTTGTTAAAACATTTGTTGTTAATGCATTGTTAACACATTTTCTTGTGGTTCGCTCATGGACTTTTTACTGCAAATAATTAACATTTGAACTGCATGAATGGATGCCTAGAGCCCATGGTATTGTTCCTGTTACTTGCGTGGATGCCCAGAGTGCTTATAAGCAGAAAGAGGGCCTGTTGGGGGTGGGGGGGGTGTTATTATCTTTAGGAGGGAGGGAGAGCTGTATAAAGGAGAAGATTACCTGGAGATAAACAGGCAAAAGCTGCACACAGTTGTTTTCTTTCCTTCCTTTCAAAAGAGCACAATCTTCTTTTTTTGTGTATGCCTGAATAGTAGACATAAAATAGCTAACACTAGCTGCCTACCCCTATTGCTGTTCGCTATATGGTAGTTGTATTTAATTTACAGATTTTTATCTTTAATTATTCTCTCTTCAGGGCCCTCCAACCTCTTCCTAGCCCTGCTTCTTACAAAGAATATTATAGGTGGATGTATAAAGCCTTCTGACATAATGTGTATTTGTGCATAAATTTACTTCCAGAAGGTACATGAATACTGAATGAGGCTTTATTTGTACATACATGGAAATGGAGGTCAGAAAAGAACAGCAAGAAGCCATGTACCTTATCCCTCTGCTCTGAGGCAGGATGAGCCCACTAAGAACAGCCTTGACAAAGGTACTTCTAACAATGGGCAATCCCTTCGAAAGGGCAGGTTCTCATTTGGTGTAAACTATATAATTCATTCACTTCACCTTGCTATGCTGATTTTCACTGAGAATCAGCTACCAGAGAATCGTCCTATATGCTCCTTGCCTGGAGTCCTGTAACACAGGACAATCAGATATGATATGATGACAATGCATATGGTATACATAGACAGAGAAAGACTCTGAAGAGATCATTTTGAAAGAGCCAGATGGCAACAACTACATTTTTTTCCCCCTAGCTTTACAAATATGTTTCGCAGTAGGGTTTTTGTTCCAAATAAACTCAAACGAAAACCCATATATCTTTTTTTAGGTACATTTCAGTTCCTCTGAGAGACATCTGTGGGCCCAATTATACAAAGTCCAAGCATCATTTTACAGCTTCACCATTCGGGAAATGAAATGACATAGCCAGATTGCTTATAATTCTGGTTTTTTAATGGGCTTCCTGGAATATTAAAAAAGTCACTGGAAAGCAAAATTACTGATACTGGGCCCCACACATGCCCTTGCATTGCATGAGCATGCCTCTGATTAAATCTGAGATCCCTTAAAACACATTTTAAAACACAGTTCAGAGCAGGAAAGCTGGAGGAGATGAACTCAGATTCCTCCCACCTGCCCTGCCCTGCCCTGCCAGCCATTTACTTGGCAGCTAAGGTGGAGCTACACCTAACTTTGAGATTGGAGTTTGAGGATTACTCACCTAGCCTCTGCTGTGGAGGCTGCCTCTCCCCTGTCTGTAATGTAGTTTAAAAGCTGCCCCCCATTTTGGGCCATTTGTTTCTCCTTTTGTCCTTGTTCTGTGCTCACTTTCCCCTTCACTGAGGAACTGTTCAGGCAGCGAGAGAGATGCTGAAGACGGCAAGGTGCTAGAGGAACCTGCGTTTTGCTAAGGAGGTAAGACTGCCAGTTTCAGCCTCAGACTCTTGCTTTCTTAGGCTCAGATGTGACCCTAATACAGGGGGGCAAACTGAGCTGGCTAGCAAATACAGGCTTTGAAACTGCCTCCAAGTCAACTCTGTCATTGTGGTCATGCCATCAGCTATCTGATCTTTCATAGTGTTATGCTGGCCTGAATATGGTATGCAGTACATTGAAAAACAAAGGAAAAATCTGTTTATTTTCAAACTGTTCTCTCACTGGGGAGGCATATGGGTCTGTTTTTTGCTATGTGTTTGTACGTCTGCTCATGGAAGGCTGAGGGTCATTTTAAATCCATGTTTTATATATGGGGTCAGTAATACAAAGGAAACAGTAATCTTTTCTAAATGCACTTTTCTGGACTATGGTGGCAATGGTACTGATAAGTTCACAGTAGTTGTTCTATATCTCTGTGAAGTGCCTTTTACTCTCTGGTGATCATTCACTTTGGGATAACTTTTGGTAGGAATTTATGCTCAGCTGTCTTCTGCCCTATTTCCTGGTATTTCTAATAAATCAAACTGGCACCTTCAGCACATTTGTCTTTGTACTTTGAATGGATTGTCATTTCAGAGATGACAAATCCTTTATACCAATTTGAAGAACAACCAACTCTGTGTGGCTTTTATATTCAAATTTGTTTACAGAATGATATTTGCAAATAGCTATTTAAGTCATCCTCTCTTTTTCTAGTTTGTTCAATGCATGGAGGTGTGTTTCTTTCATTACGTTCATTATTCATGATGGTTCTGTAGCTATTTCTATGCTATGGGAATCTATTACGTTCATTAAATATCATTTCATAAAATTGATGGACTGTGGCTGGCATAAGTTTATCCATAACATTTTCAAAGAGAATATATCATATAACCAGCTTGTAAGGTAAGCATATGAGATTTTACAAAGTATGCAGATATATTATGCACTTCCTATTTGTATTGCTCTGTCACCTACATTACCACAGGAAGCGTATTCCTCCAAACCAAGCCCAAGTGCTTGAAGATCATCATTGCTGATGAACAAGTGTTCATCACGCTACTGAACATGCTGCTCACATGCAGCAAGTTCACTTTAGGATTACCTCTCCCCTGTAGGATATAATGGGGCTTAAGTTCCTGATTGGCTTCATGCATAGTTGTAGAAAAACGGAAAGTTTTCAGTTCTTACAATCATTGAATTCTAACCTAATTCTTTCTGTTACTTCTAACAAGGGAAACTTCTTCACTTCCTATCTCAAACATTTCTGTCGGACTTCCAGTATTAAACATCTACATCTCCGCTCAAGAAGTGCTTCTGGTTCAGAGGTGGGTAAACTTTCCAGCCTACGGAAAAGATGCAGATCATTTTGAGATCTCTGGGATTTCTAATTTTATATACACATATAGTAAAACTTGCTGTTGCTGGGATGGTCTAAGAATACAGATGAGGCAAGATTTGCAGGAAAAAGTGATATCCATTATTATAGCAGCTATTATAATTGGGGAGAGGGGGAAAAAAAAAAAGCATGACCTGAGGAAGGTCTTGTGCACCCAAAAGCTAGTCTATTTTTCCTAACTGTGTTTGCTTATCTAATAAAAGGTGTCACCTCTTCCTAATGTGTAAAATTTATGTTTTTCATCAAAGCTGACCTCCATTTTGTACTCGATAAGTTAAATTTTCTCATAGCCACCAGCCTTTCTGTGGAAAGCGTGACTGCACCACAAGAATGATTTGAAGTAAAATCACATAGCAAGGAGGTGGTTGTTATACTGGACAATACAACTGAAACATGGTGGCTTCTGCCCTGATTACTCTAAAAGTAAATTGCACATGGTGGGAAGTACAGTGATCATGTGATTACATTAATGCGGTAGTGCATTAGCTTAATGTATTGCAGGTCAGGAAGTTTACATCTTAGCGGCACAAAACTGTAAACCAGCAAAATATAATATAAACCGGCAACAAGTATTGTAATTGATTCTCATTAAGAAATTAATCTAGCCAAAGAAAAGAACTATTTCTGAGCAACAACAAAAAGCAGAAAACTATAGACCTGTGTGCAATTTTACAACCACCTTGTCTCCAGGAATGTTTTATTTGCTAAGTGCTTGCTGCTCTTCCTGCAGAGATGAGCTTTTACTTAGGCGTGTTGGTCACAAAAGATTTTCAATATGAAGAAATCATAAATAAAAGATCAGAGCAGACAATTGAACATTGATGGATAGTAATGTGGTGTTTTATATGAATTGTCATTCTATGCAGATTATTTTGTAGGTCAGGCTTATATCTCCTAGATATAAGTATTCATAAATTAAGCAAATGGTGGCAGAAGGATGCTACTTAGCTTGGCAATTATAGTTCTGACCATTTACACCTACTATAGCAGTGTGGTGCTTTTTTTCCTCCTCTCCCCTCTCTCTATCTAGAAATAAGCTCTGGACTCTGGGACCAGACGAATTTACTTGACATCTCACAAATGCTGGAATTTGTTAGGTTGTTCTTTGCTGGATTTGAATCTGCCTCATTAACCTGTTCACAAAGAAACATAAGAAGAACATATAAAGTAAAGAACAGGACTTAGTTCATTTGCTTTGCACTGGTCTGCTAATGCCTTAGAAGGCATGACAGAACAAGACTGCCTTGGTTGGTTAGTGGATGCTGAGGCAGTAAAGACCAAAACACCACTGGCAAAGCATTTCTTCATCCTAGGGACGTTTTCTCTCAAAAAACCTAGAACACTGAAAACCTCAAAAGAAGAAAATGATCTTGCTTCAGCTTTGATTCTCATTTTGGTTAGCACCCATTGTCAAAATGGATACTTTCTTGCCTTTTCTTCTTCCAGCTAGTTCTGCTTACTTGTTGTAATAAAATGACTTTAACTTCTCAGCTCCTCAAGGTAAGTGTTTGGGTAGACAAACTGCAACTTTTAGAGCAAACCACTGGAGAATTTCACATCTTTCCTGTGCAGGTTTCTTTGCAGTGTCCGTTCAAAGGTTTTACTACTAGGAAACTCTATTTCAATGAAGAAGAGATGTATACAGTTGAGATCTCACAATGACTCTCAAGTCTGTGGCAGTTTATATGGTATCTTTCTCCTAGCATAGTACGGATGGTTTAGCTCTAAATGGAGCTTATAACGCAACAAGCCAATGACAAAACATTTGCCTTTAGCTTTCAGTACAGAGCTATCTTCTTTCAAAATGGACAAGTCCGAAATGCTGATTTCAGAGTACTTTTGAATGTTTTTTTTCCCCATAGTTAGCAGTGCTTCTACTGAATTTCATTAATCTGCATTAGCGACCCAGCAATTAAGAGAATTTTGATTCTAAGCTCTGCAATCTGAGATCAGCATGGCTATCAACAAGCCTACAGAGTCACTTAGTTTAGGATAGGTAGGGAATTTTACACTTGAAATGCTGTGCAGTGCTTTCACAGCTCATATGTCATATGTGTATCCATGGCCAGTTATGCTGCAGATAATTTCTGAACAGAGCCTGAGCTGGATTGAAGAAGCTGAATTTTAATCTCGTTGATCTCTGCTTCCTCTGTTTCATTTAGCAACCAAATACTACAAAATATAAAACTAGTGGTTAGGAACATTGCAAATGTCATATAGGAAGTAGCTAATTATGTAGGATTTTTTTTTTTTAAACCTTTAGTCCAAAGGATGTTGTAGTATTGAATTCCTAGTTCATTACTCCCTTTTGGCATAATGCTGCTTAGAAAGATCTGCAAACAGTATAAACTTTATGGGAATTTGCAAAGGTCAGACTACATGACCTGCTGCACTAAAGTGGCAGAAGACAGACAGCAGATCTTAATTTTATAACAGACCGTTTCTTGTCCTTTAATGAGGACATGAGAATAAAAAGGGTGTGACTTTTTTTCCCTCAGTACAAATGTAGGACTCTAATCTCCCTTATTATCTTATCTCTGGGTGAGCTAGCTGTAAGAGGCACCCTCAGAGTGCTTTACATTTCTTCACCTGCAATATTTTCATATCTGTCATCCCAGAGATCATCGTTTCTTTTTCTTAGAACAGACTTTCTAGCATAGCCAGAACACTTGTCTTCCTGGCCTGTTGAACTGCTTTTTTACATCTATTCTGTGTGTCCAGTAAGCGAAAGAACTGGGTCTGTTGGGTTTCCCAGTAACTCTCCGGCAGATTGAAACGCATCCTGCCTCAGAACGGTGCCCTCGTAAGCCAGTGCTCAGACATTACCACCTGCTTCTCTGTTTCATCACTTGCTGACAATTACGTGACTCATGCATGCAAATCAGTGATGAACAGTTCTCAGGAAATTTGAGCTTAGCCAGACTTTCTAAACATTTCCTGATGTTTGCAGATGTTGTTCAAGTTCATGAGTCTTTGAGAGGCAGGATTTGGTTTTTCTTCTAAACAACAACATTCTCTTCTAACTACAAAGACGCCAGTCCAATTCTGAAGAACAGAAAATTTTCAAAAGCTAAGCAAGTAATGTCCTTGCCTCGTAAGCAATATAGCCTAGCTGCACTCTCAGGAAACTTAACAGCATGAAGGGTTATGTTTTACTGTTTGCAAAGCTCATTAAAAATCTGTAAGCTAATCGTTCACATTTATTTTCTCACAAGTAGCCAGAATTCAGGTATTATAAGTTATTTCAGTTATGAGTTCGGTGCTGGAGTCTTGTGTCAGGGAAAGTTTGGCTTCTTAGGGACCAAACCTGAGAGCTGCCATCACCTAGAGCTGTTTGAGGCTGGTTTCCCACTCACCTTACTGAGTAGCTCATGGCAAGAATGCTGTAGATGCTCCATTTAACTTGTCTAAAGTAACCTCAAGCATTTCTTCACTGTGCACTGCAGTCTTCAGATATGCCTTTGGATGCATTTTTAGCTATGTTGGTGTAGATGAGCATCTTAGTTGATTTCACTGGATCCAGGATTTCACTCAACCCCCTAAGCTGGTTCTGCAGATGGAATTAATGAAACTGCATAGTGGAGGATCACTCATGTAGGGTCTACGCGAAGCAGCTTGGATCTGAAAGCATCCAGTCTCCTCAGTATCACCACAAGAATTCAGGAATTCTTAGCTTGGATACGGGGCCATGTGAAGACAGCTATTCTGCTTCCAGATCCAAGCTACTAAGTCTCTATGGTGTGCTATAGATTGCTGCTAATTTGGGGATCCAGCCTGTATTTTGCTGCATGGAGCTGTCATGCCCAAGACAGTAAGCAGAATTTCTGCAATTTTTTTCTGAAAAGAGAATTTTTATTTGAGTGAAAACTCTAGGGAAAACAGGGCAAATCTTTGGTTAGCAAGCTCTCATATTCTGCTAACGTATTTAATTTAAAAGGTTACTGTAGAAAGAAGACACTTGTAGGCAGTCTACCACATCATAAAACCATATTTGAAACAGACAGATGGAGCTAAATGAACCAGGACAACCTACAGCTCATTTAAAAATGTCTGATCTAACACAAGAGTAAAACAAAAAAGAAAAGGGAACCTTTATAGGATAATCGTTATCCTGAGTGTATGTCCCTTGTGTATTGCCTACGTGAACTGCAATTTTTAGAATTCAAGAAATCAACTATATCACCACATTCAAGAAGATTCAAATTCAACCAGTCTGGCTTCATGCATCCTTATAATATCTATTTTTGTTTTCTGTTTTTTAATAGTAACTTTCGGCGCATTTGAAAGATGACCGTGCTATACGAAGCACGTGTTTTAAGAACTCCCAGAAAGCGTAGGAACAATGGCTATCTGTATGAACAAAACCGAACAGAGGGGCATCCAGATGAATTTGTACAGCTCGTAGACAAAAAGTACAAACTCCTCTCAACAGTTTCTAAAGAACAAGGAAGTTAAAGAGAAATTTGATATGAACACTTACTCATACAAATGCTGAACACCGGCAATTAACAATTTTAAAAGTTGGTGGTGCATGCTAATGTTTCTTCAAAGACAATCTGTATCCTTCTCTAGTCTCATGTAATATGCTTCATCTCTGGGAAGCTGAGAAGTTTGAAGGGAGATCTTCTGATAGTGCTCCTCTGTTTGCAATAAATCATTTCTTCAAGTAATACTTAACTAATGCAGTCTATTTTCCATAAACCAAATGAAAGCCTAAGCTTGATTATAGTAGCAATGCACTTTTCTCTAGCTATCATTTCAAAGCGGAGCACCTGAGATGTGTTTATTTATTACTTGCTGAACAAATATATTCTCAGTAGATGACAACTGAGGATAACATCCCGCCTTAATGGCAGTTTTTCATAGCATAGGAGTTTTTTTTTTCTTCTCTACTTTCCATTTTACTCACCTTCTTGAATTTTCTGTTTG